GGTGACCTTCTCTCCCCGCCCCGCCCTCTGCCCTGACCCTGACCCTTAGCCTCCCCCTGTTGAGCTGCGGGCGGCAGCCCTTCGTGCGGAGATCACAGACGCTGAAGGCCTGGGCTTGAAGCTTGAAGATCGAGAGACAGTTATCAAGGAGCTGAAGAAGTCACTCAAGATCAAGGTGAGGGCAGGGAAGGCTCAGGACCTGGGGGGCCAGGAAGTACTGTGGGGCACAGGGCAGCCGTGGTGTTGGCTGAGGGGGGGCGTGGTGCCTGTGGTCAGTGGGAGTTCTTGCGGGGCCTGAGGGGGCCTGCTGGATCATGGTCTAGCTGTCCCTGGGGGGCCGTGGGGGTGTAAGGGGACTAGACGCGCTCTGCCCTCGTCCAGGGGGAGGAGCTCAGTGAGGCCAACGTGCGGCTGAGCCTCTTGGAGAAGAAGCTGGACAGCGCGGCCAAGGATGCAGACGAGCGCATCGAGAAGGTCCAGACCCGGCTGGAGGAGACCCAGGCGCTGCTGCGGAAGAAGGAGAAGTCAGGCACCTCCCCCGGGCCCTGCTCACTCCAGCCCTCCCTCCTGCGGCAGCTCTCTGCCCCCCAACCCAGGCCCCCCCGTAGTGAGACTCCCCCGGGGGCACAGCCCCATGGTGTGGTCCCAGTCTGAGCCTCTTCTGCCCCTGGCTCCTCGCCGGCAGGGCCGCTCCCGGGACCCGCCGGGACTGAGGAGTGGGGATGGGCCCTGGGGAAGGGGCTCTGCCCAAGCCCAGCTTCTCCTTCACAGAGAGTTTGAGGAGACGATGGACGCCCTTCAGGCTGACATCGACCAGCTGGAGGCAGAGAAAGCAGAGTTAAAGCAGCGGCTGAACAGCCAGTCCAAGCGCACGATCGAGGGGCTCCGGGGGCCCCCTCCCTCGGGTATTGCCACCCTGGTCTCTGACATTGCTGGGGGTGAGTGCAGTGGGGCCGGCCCAGAGGAACCTGAAAGGCCTCCCTCCCGCCCTTGGTCGCAGTTTGACTTCTGCCCCCTCTTACCCGCCTGGACGTTCAGCTGGGAACGTGCTTGCCCGGTGTCACTCCGTGGCAGCTTTCACCAAGTACTTACTTCTCCTGAGATGTGTGGCGTTGTCTGACCAAGTGGGGGCAGTGAGCCATCACCAAGTTGTCCGTGAAGCTCAGAGTTACAGCATCAGTTAGACGCTGGTAGATGTCCCTTCTGGTTCTGCGGTCTGGCCTTTCTGTCCCAGCCGTGACTTACGAGGGCCACCGGCCTGCAGCAGGCGGGGCTCGTGGCCGTGGCTCCCAGCAGGGCCCGGTGCTCGCCCCTCGTTCCTCCTGTGCGTGGCCATTACGTTTTCCCCGCTGAGTCCATGTGGCTTCACCCTGTGGTGTGGTTGTCCCTTCCGTTGCTGAATTCGCCCAGTGTCACCTGGGGCTTGTGTTCTGACCTTTGCCTGGTCTCTTTGTGTGGCCAAGGCTCCTTACTTGGAGTTTTTCTGGCTTCCAGGCCTCATCTCCCCAGCTTCCTGACCAAGGTCACGGTCATCGCCATCCTCGTTCCCATCTACTGTGTAGTTTGCTTTTGTTCTGTCTTCCGCTTCTTGCTTGCCCTCCTCACCTCCAGCAGACAAACTCATTGTAGTGGAATTAAGCCCTCAGGATCTCTAGATCCCCCTGCTGGGCCTCTCCTGTCAGCTGGCCTCACCTAGGGTCTGGTCCTCACTCGGAGGCCCCATCACTGGTGCTGCTTGATACCGGAGGCCACCAAGTGTCTTCTTGACTGTACAGTCTTCATGGTGCAGATGTGTCCATGTTCCTTGGGAGAGGAGTCTCCAGAATTACCACATAGTGTTGTTGTAGCATGAGTTCTTTAAACAAATATTGGTTCTTAATCTATGAAACTTCCCACCAAAAAAAAAATGGTGACTTTTGCCTCAGAGCAGTGGGGGACCTGAGGGACAGGGAATGTGTCTGCATCTTCAACGTAAGTTTTGCCGCTAGGGAGCACC